TTGATTAAACAAGTTTGCGACAGGTTGTGATTCATGAAATGTTGGTAGAAGAGTTATGTAGACTGACGACGTTCGGACCTCGAGTTTCAGGTGGGGGACTTGGTGCTTCTAAAGGTGTCGCCTTGGAAAGTTATCATCCGATTCTGGAAGAGGCGCAAGCTGGGCCCCCTATTTATTGGTCCCTTCAAGATTACCACCTTGGTGGGCAAGGTTGCATACTGACTCGATTTTCCTGATGATCTGAGTCAAATCCACGTCACCTTCCATGTTTCTCGGCTTCGAAATTGTGTGGCCGATGATTAGGCGGTTGTTACTTTGTATTATATTTAGGTTGATGATCGCCTGAATTATATTGAGAGACCAGTGCTGATCTTGGATAGGAAGACGAAGGCTTTGCACAACAAGCCGATATCTTTGGAAAAGGTCCAGTGGCAGCATCGGAAAGGTTCTGAATAGACTTCGGAGCCTAAGACAGATATGAATCAAGTGTATTGTATTCAAGTGGGGAGATTTGTAACATCCGGTCCAGGCATGAATCAACTTTATTGAATTTACTCTAATAGGGGTGGCCACGTTGTGGTGGAGCATCACCACGACGTGGCGGAACATTTTGGATCGCGAGATTTAAATACCTGCCATGACGTGGTCTTGGGGCACCACGACGTGGCAGGTGCTTTGGTGAAAGCCCTAATTTTGGGATTTGGACCCTATATAAGGAACATTAAGGCGAGGGTTTCAACTTCCATCTTCCTCCCAACCACAAAAAACCGTAACCCTAGCCTTCATTGAAGTTGTGAGCTTATTCTTTGTGCTTTTGGTGATTTTAGAAGGAGAAGGAAGGTTTTGGTGAGGTGGTTACTTGGCAAGCATCATTTCTTCAGCTAGCTTATCTCTTGGACCTTGGTGAGTGCCCATAACTAAACCTTTTATTGCCATGTTGCTAGATCTCTTGTTTTTGTCCCCTTTTTCCATGTTTTGATGGACTTAAGTAATCGTGTCTCATAAAGTTTGCAACGTTATAAATCTCCAGGTCAAATAGAGCATTTAGTGTCTTGGATCTAAATTATAATCAAGTTTTAATGTCATGCATGGGGTTTTAGTCATTAAACCCTATTTTTGACCTAAAATGGAAAAGGCATGTATTGGACATGCAAGTCCATAAAAGCAAGATTTTTAAGGTCTCTTTGGAGTGTGAAATATTTCTGGAAACTTTGGATGTGCAACTCTAAGGATTTGGTGCTTAATGAGAATCTTGATGCATTAAGTTACCCTTAGTGGTTAGGGTTGGGACTTTGGCTTATGGAAGGGTTTGAGGGATAATGTTTGAAATATTACCCATCAATATTTTGGAGGGAGTTGAGATACTTATCGTCCACTGTCCGAGATCTCTTATAATAACAATTATCATGCCAGTATTAACCGACCACCATTTGAGATGTTGTATGGGAGGAGATGCAGGACCCCGATTTGTTGGGGCGAAGTCGGGCATCGGGTCATGGGGAGTGATGAGGTGGTACTCAAGACTACTGAGTTGATTCAATAGGTGTGCGACAAGCTACGAGTCGCGCAAAGCCGACAGAAGAGTTATGTTGACCGACGACGTTCGAACCTCAAGTTTCAGGTGGGGGACTTGGTGCTTCTGAAGGTGTCACCTTGGAAATGTGTCATCTGATTTTGGATTCAATGAAAGTTGGGCCCCGATTTATTGGTCCCTTCAGGATTTTCGCCTGGGTGGGAAAGGTTGCATACCGGCTGGATTTTCCTGATGAGCTCAGTCAAATCCACAACACCTTCCATCTTTCTCAGCTTCGGAAGTGTGTGGCTGATGATTCGGAGGTTGTTCCTTTGGATGATATTTAAGTCAATGATCGCTTGAATTATGTTGAGAGACCAGTTGCGATCTTGGAAAGGAAGACGAAGGCCTTGCCCAACAAGATGGTATCTTTGGTCAAGGTCTAGTGGCAGCATCGAAGAGGTTCCGAATGGACTTGGGAGCCTGAGACGGAAATGTGAGAGTACTACCCTGATTTATTTTTAGATGAGGACTTCGAGGACGAAGTATAATTCAAGTGGGGAATATTTGTAAAATCCAGTCCAAGTATGAATCAACTTTCTTGTATTTACTTTAAAAGGGGTGGCCACAAGGTGGTGGAGCATCACCACGACGTAACGGAACATTATGGATCGCGGGATTTAAATGACCTGCCACGACGTGGTCTTGGGGCACCACGACGTGGCAGGTGTTTTAGTGAAAATCATAATTTCGGGATTTTGACCCTATATAAGGAACATTAAGGCTAAGGTTTTAGCCTCCATCTTCCTCTCAACCTCAGAAACCCTAACCCAAGCCTCCATTGAAGTTGTGAGCTCATTCTTGGTGCTTTTTGGTGATTTTAGAAGGAGAAGGAATCTTTTCGTGAGGTGGTTACTTGGCAAGCATCATTTCTTCAGCTAGCTTATCTCTTGGACCTTGGTGAGTGGCCAAAACTCAACCTTTTCTTGTCATGTTGCTAGATCTCTTCTTTTTGTCCCCTTTTTCCATGTTTTGATGGACTTAAGTAATGATATCTGATAAAGTATGCAACTTTATGACTCTCCAGGTCAAATAGAGCATTTAGTGTCTTGGATTTGAATTATAATCAAGTTTTGATGTCATGCAGGGGGTTTTAGTCATTAAACCCTATTTTTGTCCTAAAATGGAAAAGGCATGTATTGGACATGCAAGTCCATAAAGCCACAATTTTAAGGTCTCTTTAGAGTGTGAAATCTTTCTGGAAACCTTGGAGGTGCAACTCTAAGGAATTGGTGATTAATGAGAATCTTGATGCATTAAGTTACCCTTAGTGGTTAGAGTTGGGACTTTGGCTTATGGAAGTGTTTGAGGGATGAAGTTGGAAACTTTACCCATCAAGACCATGGGCAGGACCAGATTTGAGCCTTGGAGCTCTTGTAGTTGAAGGAAATGACTTATCGGTTTAAGCTGTCTATACTCATCACCATGACATGGTTGAAGTTGCCACAACGTGGTGACTTGGTCAAGACCTGTCTGCTTTATCGGTATGTGGTCACGACGGGGCCAAGGAGGCCACGACATGGCGACTAGTTGGGTTGACTTTTGACTTTGACCAGGATTTGAGTAAGTTTCACTTATGGGTATTTTGGGTATTTTGAGTTGTAGTCTGGGTTTTGGTCGCTGTTATTTGTAAAGGTGACCGGTAAAGTTGGTTTTTGGAGCAGCGTGTTGTTGCAACTATTTTTTCTATCTATGAGGTGAGTCTTCTCACTGTATCCATGGGTCGAAGACACCAATGCCGACCCATTATCTTGTTATGTTGAATACTAGCTGTTATGTGAATGTTGTATATATGTTTGCATGTTCGGGTTGAAATAAACCCCATGGAGGAGCCCACTATTATATGATCAGGTTGAAATAAACCCCAGGGTGGGGCCCATTATGGTATGATCGGGTTGAAATAAACCCCAGGGCGGGGCCCACTATCGTCTATCGGGTTGAAATAAACATTAGGGTTAGGCCCATATTTGTTTATTGAGTTGGAATATACCCGGGGCTAGGCCCAATTTATTTGTTTGGTATGTGGTACTTTGGTTGAACTCACTAAGGCTTGAGCTTACAGTTTATGTTTATGGTTTTAGGTACTTTCGGTACGAAAGGGAAGGGCCCGACGTGACGGCACAACATCATCCCTTTATGATTTCCGTACTTTTTGGGTATTTGTACTATGGTATTTGATATTACTTTTGGTGATGGTTTTGAACTAATTGATGAATGAAACTATTGGATTTCAAAATGAAAATTGTACCACTGTTTTTGGGTTGTTACAAAATCAGAAAAAAAAATGATTTTCCAAAAAACCATGAATTCTTGGCTTTTTGAAAAAGTCAATAAGGAGTTTAAAAGCTTACCCAAACACACCCTTTACGTTATTTATAAAATAAGGAAATAATGATGGAAAATGGTGTCTAATGGCATATTTCAATTGGTTTCGCCGAAGAAAATTAATATGTGACTTCTGCTTCCTTTTTCATTATAGATCTTCGGTATAGTTACAACTTATAACCACGTTTAGTGATCCATGGGATCCTTTTGGAGGAGATGGTAGTGGTTACAGAGTACTGCATATCTGCAACGAAGGTTGGAACAACGATATACTTTGATTTTCCTAAGTTGAAGAGCACTCGATAAGTATGGTTCAGATTAGTCGGAGATGTTGTTAGGTCAGCCAATGACCCATAATATGGTGGCAATTTTATTGGGTTTGCTTCCTTTCCACCTACTGATCTTCGAGGGATAACCTTTCTGGCATATGATTTTCTGGGTGTTTGTGAGTGTTTTTTAAAATGACTTATTGGTTTATTTACTTTTCAAAAAACTAATAAGTTAAAAAAGTGCTTAGTAAAACTAACCTTTTAGGTAAAATTAGACAATAAAAAATGATTTTTCCAAAAAACCATGAATTAAACACACCCTTTATATTGTTTATAAAATAGGGAATTAATGATGACATAGATTTTAGATTACATGACAATCTTCGTTGATAACAGCTTTACCCAAACATACCCTTTATATTGTTCAAAAAAACCATGAATTAAACACACCCTTTATAGTAGGATCGTTACTATTTTTTTTAATTATAATATTTTTTCTTTGAATAACTATCTAAAATATTACTTTTGAATTATATATATATATATATATATATATATATATATATATATATATATATAATGTTTTAACAATTTATTGTTAACTATAATGGTTAATTGTTAGATGAAAATATTTTTTATGTTTAAAAATGTTTTTAGTAGGACTTATGATTCAATTCGTTTTTACGATCAATGATCTTACAAAAAGAAAAAACAATCATATATTAAATCCGGATCTTAACAACATTGAGTATAACATTTATTGTAAAGTATCATAAACCACCGGAAAACAAAAGAAAATAACTACGATAAGAACTCATTAATTAATTAATTAATCACTCATTCTCAATCTTGATACCACCAACTGTGACATGAACATTGTCACACCTTGGCACCAATTTCACCACCACATCTTCGTCATCTTCTTCAACACCCAAATCCTCCAATAACTCACTTATTCCAATTCTCAACTGTGTCTTTTTCACCTTCCCACCATCACCACTATGTCCGTTCCTTTGCTTATGTGGCACGTTCACAAAGCTACCGGCACACTCAGTTTTCTCAGCCCCACCACCAGCCGCTGCCTCCTCATCCTCATCGTTAATGAACACATCAAACTTCACAAACTCATCTCTATTGATTTCTATCCCTTCTATCACCAATACTTCTTCTTCCTCCTCTCTTTCCTTCTTTGCTGGCCTCGCCACCATCACCGTCGTTGGTTTGTCTAGACTCATCGGAAAAGTGGCAGGTGTAGTTGGTATTCCGGCCATATTGGGTTTGCTAAAAAGAAGTTAAAGAACCTTGTGATCAATGCAGAGAGCTTTTCATTTCTGCTAAATCTTTATAATAATAAATTCAATTAATCTCCTTCTCCTCTATTATCATTGGCTATAGATGGAATTTTTTATTTTTTCTTTTTTTTCATCTTTTATTTTGTTTTTATTTATTTATTTTTTTTTGTAATTTGCGTGACAGACGGACAAACACACCAATTGCAATTTTTGCGTAATTTATGTGAAAATACACGTGTGTAATACGTCGTTTCTTAAAGTATGCGATTATGATCTTATCCGTAATTGATTTGGTAAAAAGGTGGCGTTAACAAATTAATAAATGAACTCGTCAACGAAGTAATCTTCTTTTTTCTATAAAAATAATATTATGGAAATATATTCAAAAATATATTAAAACAACTAACCCAATAGACATTCTATAAAAATAATATTATGGAAATATATTCAAAAATATATTAAAACAACTAACCCAATAGACATTTGACCTTTGTCTTATCGGAAATCTTCGGCGTCTATTTGGTGCACAAGTTCGAACTAATTTATAAAATTAGAATGTAAAATTAGTAAAAACTAAGTTTTACTGATAAAATTAAAGAAATTATAATTATTTAAATTACATTAAATTTTGTGTTTAGAGAACTTGATAATTACATTAAATTACTTTATCCATCTCATCCCACATATATACCAAAAAACATGCCCCTACCCCATCCACAATGATACGCATATGCATAAGCTAAGCCCACAAGCTTAAATTGATGTCGACGCCAACCTACACCGAGGGTGTTCAAAAATATCCATATCCGGAAATCCAATCCAAAAATTCCGAAAATCCAATTCAAAAGTATTCGAAAATCTGGATATCCGAAATTCAGATATCTGGTTATTCGGATTCGGATACGGATAGCGATTTCATAAAAGTTCAGATATCCGACATCCGAAATCTATATATTAACTATTTTTAAATATTTTCTAGTTTGAAGGGTCCACTTTAAAAAACCCAAACCCAAAAGGGACGTTATTGGTACTTCATAGGGTTAGGTCACAAATCTTGAAATCTCAGTTCTTTTCAAACCAAAGCGATCAATTCAACTCGACCTCAAGACCTTCACTTATCGAATAGACCTTCACTTATTGAATAGACAAATCTTCAACTTTTCCGAGAGTTGTTGACACTAGACACAAAGCTTCACAATTACTAAGTTCTCATCTTCTTCCATAGCAACGATCGAATAAAAGGATCTTCCTCTTTTCTGAGTTCGACTCATCCCTTTTTTAACCGGTTAGCTACTAGTATAGTACATGTCTACACATGTTATGTAATGCTTTTCTTTCGTTTTGTTACTAGTCTACTACTATACTACATGTAGCTATATATTTTTGTAGCTATATGTGTAAATAAAAATGATTCTTTCTTTATGATGTTTTTGTAGCTGAATGTGTAAATAAACATGACAAAATCTTAAATGATACTTAAATGTACTTGATTGTTTATGGACTGCTTTAAGTCCAAGAATGGTGGAAGAATTGGTGTGCACACAAGATTGGACACGTACTTTTTATAATCCTGTTATGGTTGATGATCTACTACTTGAAATAGAGAAAATCGAGGAAGGTTAGGTTTGTCTAATTGTACTTGTGCCTATTGAGTTTCTTTCAATATATAATTTTAATGTTTTCTTTTTATTTTGACATATAGGTTTTAATGACTCAACTTTGGAACGACCGATTATCATTATTGATGAAACGGTTGATGAAACATCTGGAATCACTGATCTGACTTGATGTATATAAATATTTAGATGTTCCACTTCAACTATTTAAATTATGCCAAACTATTTTTTTTTATTTGAATATGTAATTTGTTATTCTATACATATTTATGTTTCTAATTTTGATTTCTATTTCTTCTAAATTGCAGCTTTAAATAGTAGTTGTGTAGTATGGAACTCAGGAGTTTTTTTGGTGGTAAATATGGACTTATGGACTTAAGTTTTTTTTTTGTTGGTAAATATGGATAAGACTAAATAGTAGTTGTGTAGTATGGAACTCAGGAGTTTTTTTGGTGGTAAATATGGACTTATGGACTTAAGTTTTTTTTTTGTTGGTAAATATGGATAAGACTTATGGACTTAAGTGCTTGGTTTGGAGTGTTCTTTGCTACTGTGAAGTGCATGCCATATTCTCTTTTGCACATTTTCTTTTGTTAATTATTAATATCATGGCTATATAGTAAACACCAAGTACATAGAATTTTTATATAACTTCAATATTATCTAAAGGTTGTATTCTTTGTTTGGAAAATATAATGTAAGTATTATACTATTATCTAATGATTTGTATATGGCTTTAATGACTGTGTTTGGTTTTGAGTTGATTCATGTAGTTACTTTAATATTTATTGTTTAATGGTTGAATATTTTAAAAAAATAAAGTGGTTGGAATTTTGGATATTCGATTCTGGTATCCGTATTCATATTCGAATTTCCTAGATATCCGAAAATTCAGATACAAATACGGATATCAGAATTCATTATCTGAAATTTTCAGATTTCCGGATATCTGGTTTTGGACACCCTTACGTACACCCACCACCACCTCACCTACCCCCACCCCTACACCCACACATATATGATCACGTCCACGTCTACATTCATAAGCTCATGTCGATGAACATTACTCATATCCATACCTACATGCATATACTACGCAAATGATTATGTCCATAGATGTCCATAAAAGCACATATCCGTGCACATACATATTTTTTCTCCTTTCTTTACCTCATTATATATGCACTGATCTCATGACTAAGTATCACTAGACCTAACCCCAAAGAAATATACCAATTATTTGGTTTTATAAAATGCAATTATATATATTTTCGTTTTGTAAGACCATCTTTTTTTCTTTACATATAGTAGGCAAATTTATTAAAGAACACAAGTTTGCGCTAATAAGAGTTTAATAAATGAATTTTTTTTTAATTAAGTGAATTTTTATCATTTTTGTTAAAAATAATAATAAATTATAAAAATTAATAATATAATATTTTGATCGTATTACATTATTTACTTTTCAATTTATGTCATAAATCTACACAAAAGAAAAAAAAAACTATATTATATGTTATCTAGAAAAACATATTGCATTTCTATGTGTTATCTAGAGACATTAGGCATAACATATTCTAATTCATTTAGATTTCAATTTTTTACATGTTTTTTTTTTTCAATTTTTTACATGTTTTTTTTTTTCAAATACCTTTTGTCGGACAAAACACCTCTTATATTATTATGTTATATGATGGTCTAAAATAAAAGGCATAACTTTTATAAGCTAAAAGACAAACTAATATATCGTGAGTTTAACATCTTTTTGAGAGAGTTATTAATATTAAAATAAATATTAGATCAAGGGAACAAGATGATATAAATAAGAATAAATTACACAAATAGTCTCGATGGTTCTGTATAATTTGCATTTTGGTCTTTAATTTTTTTTTTTTTTTTTGACTTTGATATTCCTTATAGTAGGCTTTTTGCGTCTTTGGTCCTTACCAACGTAAAAATACTAGTATACTACTTTGCCATCACCTATTTTCGTTTTTAATTAATTTGTTATTTATTTATAATTTAAACAATAAATAAATTAAAATGACTCACCTCACCCCACTCGTCTCCTTTCTTATGTTCAGTCACCGAAAAACACCTCTGGCCACCATTGCCGCTAGCCTCTGGTCATCACCACCACTCAGTAAGAACCTTAGACACAAAATCAAAATCATAGATCCAAACTAGATGCATAACCATAACCATAAACCCAATAACAAATTGCAAAATAAAGACCATAAATCTAAAGAGATCTAATTCATTAGTCTCATTCTATTCCACTGTTATCTTAAAATATGATCCTAAATAAGCAATAAGACGTTAAAACCTGAAGCATAAATGAGATGAAACCAGAAAAAAAAAGTGAAACCTAGAAATTAGAAATCAAAATCGAAATGTTTGAAACCCCAACCCTTTCATGATGGTGGCATTAAAGTGTAGATCGACGCTTGGTGGTGGCTCTAGAGACGTTTCTGGCGTAGAAGAAAGGTGTAGCGGATATCAACGGTCGATGGTTAAAGATGACTTTAGAGTGTGGATCGGTGGTCCATAGTGAAAAAAGGCTTCCGGCAGAGTATAAAGGTGGTGGTGCATGGTAGGAGATCGATGATGATTTTAGTAAAGTTTCCGGCCGATAGTGACTGATTTGGATGTGTTCCATGCTTAGGGTTTTTTAGAGAAGGAAGATATATCCAGGAAAGGTAGGGATGGAGGGGTAAAACAAAAATATATATGAAGGTTTAAACAAAAATATATTTAAATTTTAGATTTTAGATTTGAAATTTGAATTTAAAAGGAAACATATTATAATTTATTTTTAATTAAAACAATTATTAATTGATATATAAATTTGATTTGTTAATTAAGAAATGATAAAAAGAGAGAAAATGACAAATCGAAAAAATATATATTCAAAAATACTAAAAAAATGATATGTGTCCAAGTTAATATAAAAGTTAATATAAAAGTGACGTATGAAAAAAAAAAAACTTTATTTATTAGAGTTGATTTATTTAATCCAATAGTAATAATAAATAAATAAAAAGATATAAATGTCATTTTAAGTTTGAAACAAAAGCAAAATATAAGAATAATCTCAATTTAAAAAAAAAATCCTTAGAAACCAACTATACAAATTAACCTAAACCACATAGACCATTTATGAAATTTACTTAATAACTAAATTTGATAGATACCACTATGTCATGATTTGGTATAAAGTAATTATATAAAATTATACTAAACACAAAAATTGCAATGTGTAAACATATGCATCCACGTTCGTTGCACGCCTTACCCACTACCGATAACCTTTTATGTACTTTAATAACATTTTCCAATTTTATATGAGCAGCTTGATATTAT